CGGTCACACGACGACTTTCATGCATGCGCCGCCACGTCCGGGATTGGACCGGACGCATTCTGTCGTCTCGGGTCACTAAGTGACCCAACGTCCGGTCGAAGACCGACGCCAGCATCTTCATGCTCCACCTGGCCGGACGCGTCGGTCCTACCGAGACCAGCGTCCTGTCACTTATAGTGAGCTCCGTCTTTTCTATCTAGGGTGCGGTGGCATCGTCGGACTGTCCGCACTCTATGGGCGAACACTCCACCGGTGAAGTTCCTAACCCTTGCTCAAATGTGACAACCACCAAGTGTATCACCTTGTGCACATGTGTTAGCATATTTTCATAAACGTTTTTAAGGGTGTTAGCACTCCACTAGATCCTAAATGCATATGCAATGAGTTAGAGCATCTAGTGGCGCTTTGATAACCGCATTCCGATACGAGTTTCACTCATCTTAATAGTACGGCTATCAATCCTAAATTTGATCACACTCACTAAGTGTCTTGATCACCAAAACAAAATGGCTCCTACCATTTATACCTTTGCCTTGAGCCTTTTGTTTTTCTCTTTCTTCTTTTCAAGTCCAAGCACTTGATCATCACCATGGCATCACCATCATCATGTTATGATCTTCATTTGCTTCACCACTTGGAATGTGCTACCTATCTGATGATCACTTGATAAACTAGGTTAGCACTTAGGGTTTCATCAATTCACCAAAACCAAACTAGAGCTTTCACAATGGAAATTCACTGAAAGGCTAAATGGATCTCTATACCTTGTGATGGTACTCAGTTGGTGCTTCATGGGCTTTCCACCACATCTACAGTAGACATGGTTTTCCAATTGCTTTTAGTTGAGATGCAGTCCAATTCAGTTCAGTTAGATGTGCTTCCATCAGACATTCAACATATTCTAGATGCTTTTTCACAAGTATTCACGGTGCCTGACAGCTTACCACCCAAGCGCGCATGTGACCATGCTATACCGCTAATCAGTGGTGCTACACCTGTCAATATTTGAGCCTATCGATACCCACCCCAACGGAAGGACGAAATTGACACACAAGTTTAAAGTATGCTAGCTCAAGGCTTAATCCACTACAAGAAATATGTGACTTTTTGATGTATTTAGTATGACAACAGGTCATAATGTCACTATATCATCCGATTTATGACATTATGTTTTAGGCATTTCACCTAGTGATAATAAAAGTTGTATGTCACAAAAACGTCATACATGACTTGTCCAATTTCATCCAATGACTATATTTGCTATGTCATAGAGGCATTTTTTGTGTCACAAAGTCTAATTTACAATTTAAATATTGATGTCCATGTTGGCATGTTCCACAGACCACATGGTCTATGGATCCACGTGCTTTTTGTTTTATTTTTCCAACATATTTAGTCCATGTCTATATTTCACAACCCATGTTGTTAATTGTGGCGCTTTTATTTTATATATGCATAATCACTACAGCAAAAACAGCATCCCAAAATTAGCATGGGAGGGAGCGCTTTTATTTTGATTATGTGTGTTTTTGTTTCTAAACTCAATTTAGTAAACACCACACACCACCGAAAAAATAACGTCCAGCCAGAAATAATAAATAAATAAATATATATACGATGCTTTGCATGAAGGAAGAATCACGTCAAAAAATGTCTAGCCAAAAAAATAACATCCAGCAAAAAAAAAAAAAAAAGAATATTGGCTACAAGACCTCTCATCTCAAAGAGAAAAAAAGTGGCATACCACTACACTACGAAGAAGTTGGAGAAATACTTGCAATTCACCAAATATATACAAATCTACATGAAGGAAGAAAAGATTGAAAAAAACAAAAACAAGTGAGCACACCACTGAACTGTGCTCGCTTTGTGTGTATGATTGCACTTAAGTTTTGTTTTGACGAAAATTACTTAGTCGTTAGATGAATTTATACCCCAGGCCATTGGCACCACGCCCACTCCCCTGCCGTCAGCCCAACAGACGACAGCGACCTCAGGCCTGTTCGAGGCCCAGCAAGCGAAGCCCGGCAATGACCTTGGCCTGTTCGAGGCCCAGCTAGCGAAGCCCGCTCTACGTGAGCCAAAAAATTATATATATATTTATATTTTATTTTAGTGAAAACTTGACCAACCAAGGATTCGAACCTTGGCCGTAGTTGCTAAATGGGCAAATGCAAAACCACTGGACTACTACGTTATTTTTGTTTGGAGTTGTAACTTTGGTTTTATGTTACAAAAGATGCAACAACCCAAAGTTTAAAATCGTCAACTACAAAGTTTAAATTGATTGTTTGAGGCCCTAACCGAAGTTCAAAAAGAAAACGCCGTCTCACAAAGCTTCATAACTTTTGAGATCCACAACCCAAATGAAGTTTTCTTTGACACTTAATGACTTAAATCAAAAAAATTTCAATCTACAAAGTTGTTTAACTTTTGGAATCGGCAACTTTCATTTGATTGTTTCTCCATCCTAGATAGTTTGAAAATCTAACTTTAAATTTGAAGAAAATTCAATGATAATTTCTTTACGATCGAATTCAAATAACAAAGTTGTCAACTATAAAATTGTTAAACTTTTCGGGAGATCTACAACTTTATTTTGGCTACGAATATTTATTTATCTCGACAAAGTGGTGAAAATATTGTTCGCAAAATTTACATATCTTCTTTGAGAACATTCGATAGCATAATGATATTATACTTATATATTCTTAGTGTAAAATCATAAGAGAGATATGTAAATTATGAACAATGTTGCTACCACTGGAATGATGAAGAAATAGCAAAAAATAAAATCATAGATCTTGATGAGTTCTACAACTTTTATGTATATGACTTTTTCACCCAAAATCATTTAATGTT